ACTGGCCATGTAGCCCCTCAACCCTTGGCCTCGTCCTGGCAATCCGTACGACCCAATGGAAGCTGAGGTATGCGCGGGGCCGGGCCCTGCCGACGCAGAACACTAAGACCTACCCTCGCATCTCCTCTCCAAAAGCTGTTCGTACATCAAGGGGGACTCCTGAGCATCGCGTCTCAGGATCCTAACTAACCAGGTAGCCCCTCACCCCTTTGCCTCGTCCTGGCAATCTGTATGACCCAATGATGGATGAGGTATGTGTGGGGTCAGGCCCTGCCGACGCAGAACGCTAAAGCAAACGGGAAAGAGATTGCGAAACTTTAGCAAACTATTACAAAACACATTGTCTCTTAAAAAAGTACCAAGCCCGAGTTCTTACACCTCCGCGAGGCACGATACATGTTGCAGGTTGAAAACAGGGAGAGGAGCTGCCATCAAGCCTCTTCTTCAGCCTTGGACATCACCATCGCCCGCCTTGGGAGCCCCGTCGTCAATGATGTCGCTGTCATCCTTGCTGTCATCCTTGGACATCACCATCGCCCGCCTTGGGAGCCCCGCAAGGAACTTCTTCAGCAGGGCCTCCACATGACCCTTCACGGCTTCCGCAGTGGTGGCACATGACTCAGGGTCCATGGGCTCGAGCAAGGCGCCAAAGTCGAAGTTGGTGTCCCGAAGATAGAGATGGCTGAAGACGCGTGTCATGGCCGAGGACGAGTGCATACGGGCCTCCCCTCCATCATGGGGCCGAACCAAATGATGAAGGTCTCGAGTGCAGCAACGAGCTTGGGGAGCAGTACGGCCGGACCCTGCTCCGGGGTCACCGCTGTCTCCTAGCGCTCGCTCTCGAAGAGATCCTGCAGCGCCTTGTGGGACCTCTCCTCAAGAGAGATGAAGGCGACGTGCTCCACGGTGGCCACCTCCTTGGCCTTGGCATGGGACGCCTAGGCCGCCTCCACCTCCGCCTTCCACTTCTCCAGGTGGTGCGCTCTGTGGCCTGTTCCTGGGCTGCCTGCGCTAGCTCAACATCACGATCAGCACCCGCAGCCTCCTAGACCTCTAGCTCCTCCTCCTGCACCTTGAGCTGATTGGCCTGGGTGGCCTGCTGATCCTGGACGGTCTTCAGCTCGGCCTCCATCGCGTGGCAGCGCTCCTGTGCATCCTTGGCTTCCTTTAGCGCCACGTCATGGGCGGCTGCGGCTAACCCAACCACCCTCTGGCCCTCCTCCGTGGACGCCACGGCTAGGCCCCTGGCCGTCCTGATAGACGTATCGGTCTGAAGCTATCTCGAGACCAGCTCTTGACGCCCCGACACCCTGCGCCGGTCCGGACCGTGAAGATCATCCCGGAGCTGGTCCAGCATGGAGCAGGCCTCCTCTAGGGCTTCAGACGCGGTGGAAGCACCACGGCCCGACGGCGTGCTGGATGGAAGAGGAGGCATTGTCGGCACCAAGACCGGCGGAGCAGCAGCTACAGACGGGACCGGGGGCTCCGAAGATCTTGGGTCCCCGGCAAGCGAGTCTGGGACAGGCGCCTTCGGGGTCAGCTCTACCGCAGGAGCCGACTCCTCCTGAGGCTGCAGGAGCGACGGGAGCTGCTATGCCCCTCTAAGCCGGAGCTGCAGCAACCATGGCGGCACGCTTGGCCTTGGCGGATCCAGCGTCCCCCATCTTCGTCTTCAACACCGGCGGCGGCCTGACATTAGATGAAGATGGTGAGCACTACCTCGAAACCCAAGAACAAAGGTGATGAGGTGCACTTACTTATTCATGGTGACGTAGTTCCTCTATAGACCCTGAAGCGCGAACTTCCCGGGCACGGGCGGTGTTGCGTTCTTAGGAGCGGACGAGTGCATGTCTGGCCCCACGCTGGATGATGGAGGAGAAGCAGGAGCGCAACTCAGGGGAATCAACGCCGACCTATCCCTCTTCAGGACCCCTCACCTCTGCTTCTTCGGAGGGGTCCCCCGGGAACTTGTGGTGACCCTGGCATAGTGCACCGACTCCCTGACCGGGTGCGCAAAAGCGTCATCGTCGTTGGAGAAGTCGCGAAGGAGGTCGCTCTGCCGCGGGGGAGAGTTCTCCCCCTCCGCCTCCTAGGCGGCTTCGGAGGAGTGGTCGCCAGAGGACACGTCCACCAGGGAGACTGCCGGCAGGGAAGGCTCCATCAACACGAGCCCGCACTCATTGAAGATAGGCATGGCGGCGACTATCCCCTACCCGTCATCTCGGTGGTACAACGGGAGGTGGTCGTTCGGGGGGCTGCTCTGGTCCTTCCCGAGCAAGGAGTGCATGACCATGCTCAGCTCCTTGTCGAAAGGCTGTCCGGGCACAGCCGGAGCTTGTCTTCTATGCCCCCAAGCTTCCACAAGGGGCGGGATTGCTCCTAGACCGGCACCAGGTGCTGCATGAGGAACTCTCTAACGATCATGGCCCCCGTTGGCTTCTCCGCCTTCAAGTCAGCCGCCATCTTCTTCAGCAGCGGCTTCGCCAGGGGGTCGGTGAGATTCTCGTGAGACCACCCTTCTCTGGACGTTGGAAGCCCAGTTGGCAGCTCCAATAGGGCATGCGAGCACTTGGCGTCCATGAAGATCCACTTGTTCCAGAAGTCCTCCACCTTCTTCCCGGTGCGGGAGATCGTGTTGCTGCCTTTGGCTGCAACGAAGGAGGACCATCCTGTGCACTGGCTGTCGTTCACCCGGAGGTAGAAGAAGTGGCGAAGCAGCGCAACGGAGGGCATCACCCCCACGAACGCCTCGCAGTAGAAGGCAAAGATGGACAGGAGGAGGATGGAGTTGGGGTGAAGATGGAGGGCGTGAAGCTCGCAATGGCGAAGGACGGTGTAGAAGAAGCGGGAGAAAGGTGGGCCAACCCGGCGTAAACACTGTGCAGGAAGAAGGGGTAGAAGGTACCGGCCAAGGATTCCAGTTTGGCAGAGCCAACCCGGAGCGCCGTCTCTCCCCCCTCGCTATCGTTGCTCGCCGTAAGTTGGAGCGCGGCGGCAAGGTGCTTCTCTTCAGTGTTGGTGGACGCGCCCAGGGCTGGCTCGAACCAGGGGGCCGAGCACGTGGTCGGGGACGGAGACTTCGCCTTGCCGGAGGCCATTGGGCACAAGATTGGTGGGGGAAACCGGCAGATCTGGAGGATTTTTTGGCGCGGAGAGAAAAGCGGATCTGGAGCAAGATGGAAGGAGGGCGATGGAGGCTTTGCGGCAGGTGCCAGCCTTTTTGTCAACTAGGAACAGTTGCCGAGGCAGCATGGGGAAGTGGAGACACCCACGTCCCATCAATCGCCACGCGTCATCCAAGGCCGCGGGCGGTTAGGGCCTACGGTGCTCCGCACATGCCCTTTGGCTTTGCCTAGAAGCCAAGACCGAGCGTGCCTTGGGCCCGGGGGCTAGTGTCGGTGTTCTGGATACGGGGGTACCCAGACTTGCCTGCCTGCGGCCTGCAGCGTGGCTCCATCAACGACCTGGTAAGGCCCAATTTCAACATCAACTACTCGAGACCCTCGCAAGGGGCCAAGCCTCGTGAGGCGGACGACACCAAGACCTCCAAGGGGATTAGCCTCCTCAGGCTGGCTCCTGAGGAGCAGAGATTTCGATGCAATGCTCACATTGTGAGGTTCGGGTGACGTGAGCCATGACGATCGAGGCCAGGCGGGCGCTAGTGCGCGTAGTGTCCCATTTTCCTCTTCGGTGCAAAGGAGGCAAGCAACAGGCATGGGGTCCCGAGGAAGCAGCCAAAGGATTCCATTCCCGTGCAACAAGACCAAGACCGCCAGGACGGCAGGACGAAGGTCATCGCCGAGCCCACCACAGTGTCATGACCAGAGGCTTTTGCAGGCAAAGACTACTTTAGTCAGGATAAGATGTACTTGTTGTCTCCCTTCAAATTTGTCCATTGCGGGATCCCTTCCCGCCTCCATTCGAGAAGAGGACCAAGGCCATTATAAATAGGACCTAGCCACCACCACAGGGGGGAGAGATCGGATCCATTCCATCCTCACCAGCTCACAACCTCACTTGAGCCCAAGAACTCACCTCCTGGGGTTGTTCCCCACTGTACTAGTTCTTCCTAAGCCCCTCGAGGAAAATCCACCACAAAGCAGGAGTAGGGTTTTACACCTCAAGTTAGCCCGAACCTAGGTAAACTGTTGTGTCCCATTTCCTTCAAGCTCGACGCGTTAGGCTGTGAGATTAGCGAGTCGGTAGACTGGGGAGAGTGAGATCTTCGCACGCACCCCAGAGTTCAAACCTCTCAAGGGTTTGCGGAACCCGTAATCCGACAAGATGTCCTTCTGCAAGGACTTAGTCGTGAGGCCAACGCATCTAATTTGTAGCTTGAACAGGGTTGAGCGGGACAAGAGACGCGAGAATTTACCTAGATTTGGCCCCTCGTGGTGGAGGTAAAAGCCTACATCCTGCTTCATTGATATTGATGATTATGATGACGATCTAGGTTACAAGGGCGGTGTTTCGCTACCTCTATTGAAAGCATCTACTTTGATCTTGTCTAAGATTTGTCTGTCTAAGCCCAATCTTAACCTGTAAAGAACTTGAGCCTCTTGGGGTGCCCTACCCCTCCTTATATAAGTTGAAGGGGCGGGTTTACATGTAGAGTCCTAGTAGGATTAGGAATTAGCCTATTTCTGACTTCCTATCACGGGCTTCTCACCATGGGCTTCTGAATCCTGGTCTTCTTATCTCCAGCCGGGCGGCTTACAGCTGGACAACTTACCTTCAGGACTTATCTTCAGGGCTTATCTTCAGGCATCTCATCTTCTGAGACTCATCTCCTTGACTCATCATGGCGGGTTAAGATGGATGGTTACAATGGCTGCTTAACTCCAGAGAGGACTTACATGGTTGCTCAAGTCTAGAGAGGACTTAACATGGCTGCTTAAGCCCAGAGATGACCTAATGTCAGGGCAACTTAAGCCCAGAGATGACTTAAGCTTCAGGGCGGCTTATCCTTATGAGCCGGATCTTGGTCGTGGGGAATATCCTCATAAACCACCTTTCTTGGGGTTCACGTTCTCCTTGGATAGTTCCATCATCTTCTCCACAAGCTGTAAGAAAAAAGATCATGACGACAAGTTGGTTCCATCAGCACACACACATTGACTATGTTAAGACTTAGCAATTAGATTGTTACAAGCAACTGGCAAGTGATCCCGAGTATAGGAGGATTTTCAGGCGATGGTGGGAAAATGTACGTACCATTTGTTGCTTGGTCAGCAAAATTGTCTTATTCAACAAAACAATGAAACTGTTTAGTAACTGTAAGAATTGAGAAGAATAAGAAAACTGAATTGTCTCATGGTTTTCACTGGTCAGCAGCTCTGTACCTCCTCAATTTTCATACATGCTTTCTCCTCCTTAAGGTGGTTCAGTTCAGCTTCAAGATCCATAGTATAATCCTGTAGGATTAACAAAGATAGTATGTACATGTCACCACCTTGTTACTACCATTGCAGAAATGGCATTGCATAAAAACCAACAGTTTTGGCAGCAAAGTAAGTATCTATTTGGCACGCGATCATGCGGCTGACTCACGGTTCTTGATCATGCGACGGTGATGACGCTCGATCCTCCTCTTGCAGGACTGATCCTCCAGGGCGCCGCATTTTCGGGTGTAACCATTCATCATCGGTCCGTCGCCCATGCAGTTCATCATGTCAGCCTATGTCATGGTGCTCCTCCCGTCTGATGACCCGGGGCTCTCGATACCCACCCCACCATGAGAAGGTGGTGGCGGTGGCACCATGGTCATCCCTGCGTACCCATTGGGGACGAACCCCATGTCATCGCCCATCACCGGGAACATGTTGTTGGTCGGTACCATCGGGTACATCATTGGGCCAGGTTACTGCGCGGGGTCCATCTCTCCATGGATCAGGCCGACCGGCAGAGGTGCCTAGCCGATGGCAGATCTCCGGACCATGCTGGCCTTGACAAGGAACTGCTACAACTTGATCTCTCCAAGCGCACCCTCCCAGTCGTTGGCCGCAACGGAACCGCCATTCTCCACAAAATGTAAAATTGCAAGGTTGCTCTACCTACCGTCTAGGTGGTGTCCAATAGGGAGCTGCCATCTAACACTATGTGGGTCAAGTATCTTTGTATTACATTTCTTTTCTGAATTTCCCATCTTCGTATTTCCACTATCTCTCTTCAATAGTTGACCCCCACTAGTGTACTTCACATGCATGCATGACAGTGTGGCAGAAACACTTTTTCTTCTCCCACACAATAAATCCAACCATTTCTTCCTCCTTAGCTAATTTAAAACATCCATATATTTTAAACCATATATATATTCATTTGTGAAACTTTTTTTATATTTGAACTCCTTGCGCGAAAACCTTTAAAATGAGATCAATCTTGAATGTTTTTTAACCATATTTAAATTTAAACATATATTTCACATGTCAAAATAATCTATTTCACAATGATACATTACAGTTTCACTTTCTATAGTGGCTATTGCACCATTCATAACCTACATTTCACTTTTCACAGGCTTGCTTCACAAATAAAAAACCTATTTAAATTGCACATTTCTCAAACAAGATATTTCACTCTTTTGAAAAAACTATTACACATGTTCAAACAATCAGTTTCAGAAATGATACAATAGAATTTCACTCTCTGTAGTTACTCTTTCATAATTCACAACCTACATTTCACTCACACTGGCTAGGTTCAGGAAGAGCACATATATTTCAATTACATATTTTTGAAAAAACAGATTTCACACTTTTGAAATAATCAGTTTCACATTTATACATTGTAATTCACATTTTGTGGTTCATATTTTCGCAATTCCGAACCTGCATTTTACATTTCACTGTCATGTTTCACAAAAATCACATATATTTTAGTTACGCATTTTTGGAAAAACATATTTCACTCTTTTGAAATAATCAGTTTCACATTTGTACATTATAATTTCACATTTTGTGGTTAGTATTTCACAATTCAGAACCTACATTTTTACATTTCACAGTTATGTTTCACAAAAATCACATCTATTTTAGTTACACATTTTTCAAAAAAAACATATTTCACTCTTTCAAAAAATCATTTTCACATTTTGTGGTTACTATGTCACAATTCAAAACCTACGTGTAATATTTCACGGGTGTGTTTTACAAAAATCACATCTATTTCAATTGCACATTTTTGAAAAAACATTTTCAGTCTTTCGAAATAAACTGTGACACATTTCAAAAAATCAATTTCAAAAAGTCATTGGTTTCTAGTAAAATACAATGGTTTTAAATATTTCTGTTGAAATAGTTTTTTATAAAATTTAGTGATATTGATTTGGTTCACATATGGAATATGAAACGTTGAAATTTAAATGTTTTCGAAATGTATTCAAGATCGGTCTTGTTTAAAAGGCCTTGGCACAAGGAGTTCAAATATATAAAAATAAATCAAATATGAACTTATGCTTTAAAAGATATGGATGATTAAATTTAATAAAAGGTTGGATTTAAACCGAAGAGAGAGAGAGAGAGAGAGAGAGAGAGAGCACACTATCATATTTCTGCCATGCATCCATGCCAAAGACAAACAATGGGGACCACTAGCTGTATTTTGATGATGTATACTAGTGTATAGGATAAAATGAGAATAAAGTGGTCCCGTCTGCACGTATGTTGAGGCAAGCAATGAATGGCAGATTTGTTGCCGCTAGGTAGCATCACTGCACAAAAAGACTTTCTCCCATTCGCCACCATTGGCTAGACAAGAAGCTGCGATGACAGAGGCGCGGCCAGAGGCTGGTCATGCACCGGTCGGGGCTCCCTATTGATCTTAGCCCACACCTCCTCCACTATCTCTCGGCACAGTCGGGGAGGCAAGGAGAAGGATCCCAACCGGCATAGGTCGCTTACTCCAGCATCCCCACCACTTTCGCTTCGACCAACACCCACCACGAGCCTCCTCACTGCCCACCAAGCCACGGTTGGGAGCCGCATGGAACTCCTCGGCATTCCATATGTCGCTCATGAACTCATCCATGTTCATGGACCCAAAATTGTGCCCCACCTTGCACATCGACTATTGCAGCTCGTCCAGCATCAGCGTGAAGATTTAAGGCTGCCGCGCAGGCGCAACCATTTTGTTCCTCACCTTTAAGAATGCGAGGGTGTGAGGTGACTTCTTCTTCGAAGAACTTCACATCTTTGCTCATCTCTGAAGCCATCATATCTCTCCATTGTGGTCTCTATGTACGCTCTTGTTTGTGGTGTGTGGTTCAGTCTTGTGCGCCACCCCCCTATTTATAGCCTACCGCATGCAAGAAATAAGCATCAATTAAAGCATTAGATAGCTATTAAATTAACGTGATTGATGAAAAAGGTCAGCTATAGATATATCGATACAGAATAGTAAGTGCGTCTCATACTGGATAAATAGGGTGCTGCCAAAGCGCCAAACATTCACAAGATGCGGCTACCGCAGCGCCGGGACAGGGCGCCACCCTTCTTGTGTTGACGTTCTCCTTGGACTATTACATCATCTTCTCAGCTATAGAAAAATCATGACCACAAGGTGTTACCATCAGCACACTCACATTAACTGTTTTAAGAATTAGCAATTATGTTGTTGCAAGAAATTGGCAAATTATGGTAAGTGTAGGAGTGTTTTTTTCTTAGAAAAGAAGTATCACCCCTGGCATCCAATGCACATAGCCATAAGAGTATCGGGGTTGATGACCGCTATCATGGTTGGCCAACGAGGGAGCGCAACTGGAGGCTAGTCGGACCATCAATCAGCAAGTCATGACGGAGGGAGAAAGTGGATCGACTACCCAAGCATTATGATGGTTGACCACCGACAAGTCTCAAGGATACCCACGTAACCACTAATTTGAATAGATCAAATTTCACTAGATTTAAGAACTATTTTAATGACTAAACTTTCACCGATGCGGCAAAGTGTGCCTACGTGACTAAACTCAACTCGAGTGTCATCTCCACTTCTTCAGAAGAGAGGAAAGCCGAAGACTCCCACACACATATCTGAAATGGACCACACACACATAGCATCACGTCATATTAAAACTTGAGTACACATCAACATATTGCTAATTTCCTTTTGTTCTGTTTTTTTGAAGTTTCTAACAAACCCATCATCATCTATTAACAGTAACAAACAATACAAGTTCACTTGCTTGACCACATAAATACTGACATTTTATTCCTTATGGAATTTAGGTACTACTGGTAAATTACTATACCATCTTGCTGCAAAAAAGGTAACCACTATCAACACCAGAATTGTTGTTGCAGCTGCATCAGACACACAAAATAGCTAGAATGCAAGTCCTACTGATCCTCCTGCTAGCACGGCTGTAGAGGCTGAATGGCGGGTCACCGTTCACCAGATGTAGCTATTGTAGTGCCGTGAGAGAGCACCACCCTTCTTGTTGTTGACGTTCTCCTTGGATTGTTCCATCACCTTCTCCACCAGTTGTAAAAAAAATCATGACCACAAGGTGTTTCCTTCAGCATGCACATATTAACTTTGTCAGACATGGCAATTAGGTTGTTGGAAGGAATTGGTTGTTGGACTGAATTGGAAAATTGTGGTAAGTGTAGGATGGTCTTTTCTTAGAAAAGGAGGATCACCCCTGGCCTTCGATGCACACATCCATAATAGTGTCAGGGTAGATGAAGGTTGTCATGGTTTGCCAACCAGGTTGTGCAACTAAAGGCTAGCCGAACCCTCAAGAAACGAGTCGCGACGGAGGAAAAGGGGATCGACTACCAAGAGTTGCAATTGGTGACCACCATCAATTCTAACAGGATCTCGCGCGACCGTTGGTTGGAATAACTCAAATGTCACTTGATTTAAAAACTATTTGAATAGCTCAAATTTCACCAGCGTGGCAAAGTGCGACTACGTGACTAAACTTAACTCGTTTGTCATTCCACTTCTTCAGAAGGGAGCAAAGGCGAAGACTCCCACACACACTCCGAAATGGACCACACACATAACATCGTGTCATATTAAAGCATGAATACACATCAACATATTCCTAATTTCCATTTGCTCCTATTGTCTGAAGTTTCTGACAAACCAATCATCATGTATTAATGTAACAACAACACAAGTCACTTTCTTGACCACCAGATAAACACTAATGTTTGGGTTCTTATGGGTTTTAGGCACTACTAGTAAATTATTATACCATTCCGCTCAGAAAAGAAAAGGTAACTACTATCAAAAACACAATTGTCGTTGTATATGCATCAAACACACAAAATGGCCAGAATGCAAGTCCTCCTCATCCTCCTACCGGATCAGCTATAGAAGCTTAATGGACGGTTAGCGTTCACCAGATGTAGCTGCCACAGTGTGGCGAGAGGGCACCACCGTTCTTGGCATTAACTTTCACCATGGAATATGCCACCATCTTCTCCCCTAGCTGTAAAAATATCACGACCATAGGGTGTTACCATCTGCACACTCACATTAACTTTTTTAAGACTTGGCAATTTGGTTGTTGAAGCGATTGGGAAATGATGGTAAGTGTAGGAGGGTTTCTTTCTAAAAAAAGGGGGATCACCCCTAACCTCTGATGCACACAGCCATAAAAGTATAAGGGTTGATGATCGTAGTCATCGTTGGCAAACCAAGGAACCGAACTGAAGGCTAGCTAGACCCTCAAGCAGTGATCCACGATGAAGGGGAAAGGGTATCAAATACCCAAGCATTGCAATTGGCGACCATGGTAAAAGGATCCCACGTAACCACTGATTTGAATACCTCAAATTTTACAAAATTCAAAAACTATTTGATAGCTCAAATTTTGTCAACCCGACAAATTGCGCCTATGTGACTCAACTCAAATCATGTGTCATCTCCACTTCTTTGGAAGAGAGCAAATGTGAAGACTCCCACACATACATTCGAAATGGATCACAAACGTAGCATCGTATCATACTAAAGTGCGAGTACACATCAACATATTACTAATTTTATTTTCTTTCGATTGTCTAAAGTTTCTGACAAACCCATCATCACCTACAAACAATAGCAACAACTCAAGTTCACTTGCTTGACCAGAAAAACACTGACATTTTGGTCCTTCCGAGTTTTAGGTACTACCACTAAATTACTATACCATCCCGCTCCGAAAAGAAATGGTAACTACTATCAGCACCACAATTGTCGCCCAACTTGCATCAAACACACAAAATGGACAGAATGCAAGTCCTCCTCATCCTCCTGCCAGCACAGCTTTGGAATCTCAAAGGTGGGTCGCCGTTCACTAGATGCAGTTGTCGTAGTGCCGTGACCTGGTGCCACCCTTCTTGGCATTGACGTTCTCGTTAGGCTATTCCATCATCTTCTCCACCAGCTATGAAAAAATATCACGACCACAGGGTGTTACCAACAACACGCACACACTAACTGGCTTTAGACTCGGCAATTAGGTTTTTCCAAGCAATTGGCAAATGATGGTAAGCGTAGGAGGGTTTTTTCTTAGAAAAGAATGATCACCCCTGGCCTCCGATGCACATAGCCATATGAGTATGCAGGTTGATGATCGTCGTCATGGTTGGCCAACCAGGGAGCACCTGAAGGCTAGTTGGACCCTCAAGCTACGAGCCACGACAGAGGGGAAAGGGAATCGACTACCCAAGCATTGCAATGGGTGATCACCGTCAAGTCTCACGGGATCCCGCATGACCACGGATTTGATAGCTCAAACTTCATTGTATTTAAAAACTATTTGAATACCTCAAATTTCACACACGCGGCTAAGTGTGCCTATGTGACTAAACTCAATTCGTGTGTCATCTCCACTCCTTTAGAAGAGAGAAAAGGTGAAGACTCCCACACACACATCCAAAATGGGACACACACATAACATCCCATCATATTAAAGCATGAGTACATATCAACGTATTGTTTATTTTTTTCCGTTGACTAAAGTTTCTACCAAACCCATCATTACCTATAAACTGCAACAACAACACAAGTTCACTTGTTAACATTTGGGTCCTTATGGGTCTTCGGTGCTACTATAGTAAATTACTATACCACCCCGCTCCAAAAAGAATAGGTAACTCTACTATCGACACCACAAATGTCGTTGTAGTTGCATCAAACACACAAAAAGGCAAGAATGCAAGGCTTTCTCATCCTCCTGCCAGCATGTTTATGGAAGCTGAATGGTGGGTCATCATTCACGATGCAGTTGTTGCGGCGCCGGAACAGGGCTCCACCCTTCTTGGCGTTCATGCTCCCCTTGGACTGTTTCATCATCTTCTCCACCAGCTGTAAAAAAAACCACAACCACAGGGTGTTACCATCTGCACGCACACATTAACTATTTTAAGACTTGCCAATTAGGTTGATGCAAGCAATTGGTAAATGATTGTAAGTGTGTGAGGCTTTTTTTCTAGAAAAGGAGGATCACCCTTGGCCTCCGATGCACACATCCTTAAGAGTATGAGGGTTGATGATCACTCTCATGGTTGGCCTACTAGGGAGCACAACTAAAGGCTCATTGGACCCTCAAGCAGCATGCTGCGATGGAGGGGAAAGGGGATCGACTACCCAAGCATTGCAATGGGTGACCACCGTCAAGTCTCACGGGATCCCACGTGACCATTGATATTAATAGCTCAAATTTTACTAGATTGAAAAACTACTTAAATGCTCAAATTTCATCAAAACAACAAAGTGTGCCTATGTTATTAACTTGTGCGTCATCTCCAGTTCTTCAGAAGAAAGCAAAGGCAAAGATTCACACACAAATCTGAATTGGACCACACACATAGCATCAGACCATATTAAAGCGCGGGTGCACATCAAAATATTGCTAATTTTCTTTTCTTCCATTTGCCTGAAGTTTCTGACAAACCCATCATCACCTATAAATAGTAATAAAAATGCAAGTTCACTTGCTTGACCAGATAAACACTAACATTTGGGTCGTTATGGGTTTTAGGTGCTACTAGTAAATTACTATACCATCCCACTATAAAAAGAGAAGGTACTATCAACACCACATTTGTCATTGTAGTTGCATCAAACACACAAGATGACCAGAATGAAATTCCTCCTCATCCTCCTACCAACACGACAATGGAAGCTAAATGGCGTTCCACCATTCTCTAGAAGCAATTGTCGTTGTGCTGCGACAGGGCACCACCCTTCTTGGCGTTGACATTCTCCTTGGAGTCTTACATC